CCAAACATGAAAGCAGAGATCGCTATCTTCGTGGGCAAGTGCCTGACTTGCGCCAAGGTGAAGGTCGAATACCAGAAGCCCTCAGGTCTACTCCACCATCCGGATATACCTGAGTGGAAGTGGGAAAGGATTACTATGGATTTTATCACTAAATTACCCAAATCTCCGAGTGGGTATGACACCATCTGGGTAATAGTCGATCGATTGATGAAATCCGCTCACTTTCTACCAATCAAAGAAACTTTCAAAATGGAGAGACTCACACGAATCTACATCCAAGAGATAGTCCGACTGCACGGTGTGCCTGTGTCCATTATCTCCGATCGAGATAGCAGGTTCACCTCGAGATTTTGGCAGTCCCTACAGAAAGCTCTTGGAACTAAGCTGGATATGAGCACAGCTTACCATCCTCAGACAGATGGGCAGAGTGAGAGAACCATCCAGAACTTGGAAGACATGTTGAGAGCATGTGTCATTGACTTCGGTAAATCATGGGACACCCATTTGCCCTTGGTCGAGTTTTCCTACAACAACAGTTACCATACCAGCATCAAGGTTGCGCCTTTCGAAGCCCTCTATGGCCGCAAGTGCAGATCCCCTATGTGCTGGGTTGAGGTGGGCGACACACAGCTAGCCAAGGGGCAAGTCCCTGACAGCACTCTCACTGGCCCAGAAATCATCCGCGAAACCACAGAAAAGATCATACAAATCCGAGAACGACTGAAGGCCTCACGAGATAGACAAAAGAGCTACGCCGATACACGACGAAAACCCTTGGAGTTCCAGGTTGGAGACCGTGTCCTGCTAAAGGTCTCACCCTGGAAAGGCATGATACGCTTTGGAAAGCGTGGAAAGCTAAATCCGAGATACATAGGACCATTCGAGATCCTTGCTAGGATCGGTCCCGTAGCCTACAAACTCCGTTTACCTCAATAGCTTAGTAACATACATCCCTTCTTCCACGTCTCGAATCTTAAAAAAGTGTTTATCAGACGAAACCCTTATGATCCCTCTCGATGAGATTGAAATCAACGAAAAAATCAATTTTGTGGAAGAACCAATCGCAATCATGGATCGGGAGGTCAAACGAACAAAGCAAAGTCGCATCCCGATAGTGAAGGTTCGCTGGAATGCTAGGCGAGGACCTGAATTCACTTGGGAGCGTGAGGATTCAATGAAACAAAAGTACCCCCAGCTTTTTCCAAGTCCATGATTTGTAGCTTATTTCTTGAATTTCGGGACGAAATTCCCTCTAACGGGGGGATGATGTGACAACCCGGAACTTCTATCATGTACTATTGATCTTTATATCAATATTAAACTCGATTTTATCACCATTTTACACCGTTTAAGGGTTTGATAAAGCGTTCTAAGCCTCACACAATCAAAGTTTGGGTTCTAGGTCGAGTAATACCAAGTCATAGTACAACATTTGGGCCGTACACTCTCTCGGGAGGAGTGTACGGCCGCACACCCACCCCTCAACCGTACACCCACCTCTATATAAAGGAGGAGACCCCTCCATTCACTCTTTTTCCCTTTTGGCTGCACACTACTTTCTCTCTCTAGAATCTTCACATAAGGACCCTCTAAAGACTTCTAAATCGTAGGTATTCTATCATCTAGCTTGTTATACTTGTAAGACTCTTAATCTAAGCCCTAAATCATCAAGTTTCATCTTGTTCATCATCCTTTGAAGGTGTACGGCCGCACACCTTCATAAGGTGGCCGTACACACCTTAAAGACTCTCCAAAGTGAGAGTTGGGCCTCCATCTGCTAGTTGGACTTGGTATTAGCTTTGAAACACCTAAAAATCGACATTTTGGTCATGGATGAAGAGTGTACGGCCGCACACCCCTCTGTACGGCCGCACACTCCCTTGTACAGCCGCACACACATCCTCTTGGCCATACACCCACTTTGATGCTCATTTTTGGCCTCAAACTTGCAATAACACTCAGTATGGGACCTAGAACACTCATTGGATGCTTGTAGGACCTTGGAAACACCTCAAAACACTCCCCATCATGAGTGTACGGCCGTACACTCATGGGCCGTACACCTATGGCCGTACACCTCCCTCGTTCGATCATATAAGGTCCCGACACTTAGTTCAAGCATTTCCAGGTCCTTAGGGTGGTTTCCCGTCATGTTTAGTCATGAAATACCCTAATTCTAATACACATATGTGTTACCATATGTTAATAGGATCCACTTGTGTACGAAACACCAGTTAACACTCAGCATCCACACCAATCATACGCTCGAATCCTACATCAAACAGTGAGTTCATACCCCTATGCTTTTATAGTTTTTAAAACGTTTTCAGGGGGAATACAAGCTAAACATAAAGGTTCTCATAACTTAAAAACTGATGCAATTACAACGGTCTTATCAAACATCTAGATACTTTATTCCCTTTTGTAATATGCAGAGCATAAGGGACGTTTTCTAAACATAAATTGCATAGTTTTCCTGAACAGTACGTTAACACAACTTATCAGTCAAACTATAACAGGTATAGTTTGGGGAATTCTTTACAGGTTTTACAGATTTACACACATAAACTATGACAAATTTAGTTTATCCATATAGATAACTAGCGTATTTTGCTAAATAATTATTTGGTGTATAATTATTTATATTCTACACCGTTTACAACGATTTCGAACTCGAAAACAACCGAACTATATGTAAACTAGTTAATACAGGATTGTGAGATCTATCTTCGTTATGCCCTTCGGGGTACCAATAAATCCTCCCCGGTAGTATAACCAGAGTCTCCTGGAGGGAGAGCGTGGAATTTGTGAATAGATCTATTCGGGACCGACAATCTCACACCTGAACTGTTAGCTACAGTTGGGCGGGCACGCCTGGGGTGACAAATTTTGTAATCGTACGACGCCTGAAGAAACGTCAAGGAGGTCACCGGTCATATTAGTATGGTTATACGACTCACAATAAGTATAAACTAACCTTTGTTTACGGGATTTCTTTCTTCAATAGTTTTATTTAATTAATAAAACTACTTATCTACTTACTGGAGGATATTCCAGGGATCCAACTCTTGGTTTTATTTGAGTAATAAAACTACTATTTATACTGGCGGTAACCAGGGTTTTCAAATGGAACGTACTTTTCATACAGTAATCTACAAACATGTTAGAGAATATGAGATTTTCTTGGAAAGCATGCATACATATTTCAAAACTTGATATCAAAGGTTTTAGTCACGAACGATATTTACTTATAATGAAAAGAAATCAATTTTACAACACCATGGATGATGATAAATGTGCGGTATCATCTTTTTGGTATTATAACATGTTACTCATACTTAATACTCTAATATGGTTGATGCTCGTTACATGAACAATAGTAATACCTATATATGAATTTATGTGTCTCGTGATAAACTAAAAGAACATCTTCGTTCAAAGACCTCCAATTCATGCTAAGGTAGTGTCTTTGTTTAGAATTTTAAATTTGAATTGAGTTATCTTACATTCATTCATATTTTATTTGAGGTTTGTTGCCGGAAAAATAGTGGTGCATGACTGAAAATAATGATTGTGGCCAGAAATATTTTTGAGGATGGTGATAACCAAAAAGAGTAACGAAATGGTTTATACCAATAAAATATTCATTCAAAATAATTTACTATCTTTTCCTAATTAATTTTTAAAGTATTATGAAATGGTAAATATTTTCAAAAAACACCATGCTTGTGTACAAAACTCCACTCTTATGGAAACTCTATCGTTTTATATATGACTAACTAGGTTATAACCCGTGGAAACCACGGGTTAATATGTAATATCATTGTTTACCGTAGAAACCATGGTAAACAAATTAAAAAAATATTGATATTTAAAAAGCATAATCATTGACCAATGATTTCAAATAGTTAATAATTTATATTGTTAGGTTTATTCGGATTAGTATGTAAAATGTTTTGAAGATATATATGACGTTCTTTATGTATAGATTAATGAAAAATATAAAGATGATGTTGTATAATGAAAATATAAAATTGAATAGACTAAAAAACAAACACACTAAATCATTGAAATTACAATTGTTATATGCCGAATTATAATTTAAGTATTGTGAGACACATACATGAACACAAAATAAATTACAGATACAAATTAAGAATAAAATATGTTTTACTATTAATAAGTAAAAGATGTTATACCAAATAAAATTATATAATTTGTTTATAAATTTCTAAAACTTATTTATATACAACATTAAAAAATTTATTTGTAAATCTTTTATTATCATCTAAAACTAACAATTTTAATATTTTTTATTTTGTATTAAAGCAACATACAATTAAACATTTATAAAAAGTAATTATTTAGGTTATTTGAGAAACAAACCAACTTTCCATCAAATTTGTTATTGACTCTATCATATTGGGTATTTAGACATTTATTAGTTATATTAAGTTATTTTTTGATAAAATAAACAAAATGATGATGTTTTATTTATAAAAGATCAACTACAACGCCACGTCGAAATTGAAAATATATAATCTTTAAAACCAATTCAAATTGCAACAATTTGTTATAAATTTTAAAATTGATTAAATATTTTCTTAAAATAAATAACAATTAGTTAATAAGATTTTTGATTATATTTATAAAAGATCAACTACAACGCACGTCGAAATTGAAAATATATAATCTTTCAAACCAATTCAAATTGCAACAATTTGTTATAAATTTTAAAATTGATTAAATATTTTCTTAAAAGAAATAACAATTAGTTAATAAGATTTTTGATTATACATTATTGACTTATTATATGTAACATTATATAATATTTATAATTATAAGTTTTTCAATAATTAACAAATAATAAAATTGAATCAGTAAATTATAACTTTCATAGTTTTAAAAACTATAATTATGAATATCTCTGTTTGTAATCAAAATATATAAAGAGGAATAAAAAAGAGTATTTGTAAAAGACTGTAATAAACTTACATATCATAAGATAAGAAAGAGGAGCCAAAGATAAAAACGAAGCTCCGGGTCGGTATTCGAAATTGAAGGTCGGCTAGCAGCAAAGGAAGAATCAGGAGGTGCCCCGACAACTGATTGAGTGTGGGAGTGAAGTTTTAGTGACAATTTCGACGGTGTAGGAGAGAGAGACATAGAACATGGAGACGAATTAGATCCACCCGACTAAATATCCTAAACCTAACCAGCGCCTACAATCGATCTTCTATCCTTCCCTTTTTTCTCCGATCGACATGAACTACAACTCTACAAGTCGAACCTTCAATCCCGTGTTGCCTCTACCTCCGACTTGGTCCGGCTCCGCAGCTGCTGGCTATACTCTGTGTCCGCCTCTACTGCTATTGGCTCAGTCTGCCTCTGCTGCTTCCTCCGACTTCTTCCTCGGTTAACTCATACTTAACTTACACCAGTTGATTCAACTTCTTCATTTCTTTTTTATTTTCTTGCTAAATAACTTAGACACGACTTACACTACGGTCTGGTTAACCCTTAAAAAATCAGGATTGCATATGTTTGGTGTTGGAACTGTAGTGTTGTTTGAAAATTTTCAGGATATGCTTTGTTTCGGTTTTTTTTGTTTGTTTGTCAGATTATGCGTTGTTTCAAAGGGAATCCTTTTATTGTAAAAAATAAAGTGAGTTTTTAGATAAGAATTATGTATATAAAAAGTAAACGAAGACATTGACACTTCTGTTTGTTAATTGTTACCCATCAATTTGATTTTGTATACACATTTCAGGGGATTTCTTGGCACTCCAGTTTGGTATTTAGGTTGAGGCTTTAAAAATGCACATAATGAAGTAAAAAACGGTATGTCTCTTTGTATGAGAGATTTGGATCTTTCAAGGAGTTGGAGAGAAAGCATATCCTTTGTCTTTTAGTTATCATGTTATCATTTTCTTTTAATAGAAAAATTGTCATTGCCTTTGTAAGATAATATATATGTAGTTAATTTCTTCCACTTGCATATTTTATTTTATTTTTTCTTTAGTAAAAAATAGGATTGAGAAAAGGGTACACAGAAACCTTAAAGTAATATAAGCTATAAGGTATGTCGTATATAGGTAAATTATATGTTCAATGATTCAATTTTTTTAATATCATGGATGTTATTCCTTTGTTCTTTCCTAAACTGTTTATAGAGGAATTGAAGTCCGGCGCATTGAAAGTTTCAAGCTAGTTGCCACCGTAGTCTTCGTATGTGTTTTTTTTTTTCACAAACGACTCCTATGTTCTTTTGAAGGTTGGTTCTCTAATCTTAATAAGGTTAGACATTTTTTTATTACTTTTCTTGTATGGCCAAGAGGTAAATTTTATATGTATGTATAAATTCACAATATATACAAATTATAGCTATGTGCCTTGAAATTATGTTGTTATAATTGGTAAATATTGAATTTTTAAAAAAAGGAAGACAAAAGAACCTATACTACTGCATACATGGGATACGAAAATGAAAGTATGATGCTAAAGTTAAATAATTGGTCCCTGTATGAGACATTAGACCGTTTTCAAAAAGCTGATATGCACTTGGCTCAATCAATAATGATAATCTTGTGTTTTTTTCTTCAGGAGCAACGTATTTTGCAACTGCAAGGAAGCTTTAAGTGTAACGCCCCGTTCTAAGAGTAATTATTCATGGATCCCCGAGATCAAGAGTAAGGGCGTTTCGGTCTTTTATGGGCAATGGGTTTTATTCGAGAAGGTTTCGGGTCGGGGTGTGTTGCTAGAAGCGTAGGGCTTCTCGCCACCTTTTCGTGGATATAAAGTTCGTCGGAAACGGGCTTAGAATAAAGGAGTTATGGCACTTTGAAGATAGTGTCAATAATGGTCCCTAAAGGAAATATTTGGCAAAGGGGTCCTAGGCATGCATGGAGTGCATGCGTGTAATTGGCTGGGTACGCCCAGCGTAAGCTAGGTTACGCCCAGCGTAGAGCGGTTAAATGAACGCGGGTGTTGGGGGCGTACGCCCATCGTACAGGATGTACGCCCAGCATACGTCCAGTGTCCAGAAACCCTAATTTTAGGGCCAGCCACTATATAAGGAACATTATGGTTCCAACCCTAGCCCCCATATCTGCCCTCTTACTCTCAGAAACCCTAAGTAGCTGTTTTCTTCCATGATTGTGGATATTTGACCTTGGGGAGCTTGGTTTGGCAAAGGAGAGCCTAGGAGAAGAAAGAAAAAGTTGTCAAGGAAGGAGTTGGGTGGCTGGAGCTCGTAGATCTGGGAAGGCATCATCTTCTGGAGCCCTTTTGAGGTATAAAGTCTCTTGCTTGACATCTATTTTGTGTAGATCTAGGTGTTATGAGGTTTTGACACCATTTCTTGTCCCAAAAACCCCAAAGTGATGCATGATGCGAGTTGGTTGAGATTAGCTGTCCTTTCAGACCTTAGGAGAGGTCTTGAGTGAGAAAAATGAGGTCCTAAAGGCTTTGATTGTCTCATGTGTGATGTAGGTGGGTCTTAATGGATTAAGACCTTGAGTTAAGAGCTTTATGGACGTCCCAAGTAATAAAGTTTGAGACTTTATGAATCCTAGGCATGTTTGGTCGATGGATCTGAAGTTTGGGCTGAAGAGCTTAAGCCATTAAGAACTTATGTGGAATTTTAGTTCAGCGAGATTACGCCCCGCGTAAGCTGATGTACGCCCAGCGTAGTGGGTCAGTGTCCCGTTCCCAGTCCGCGAGAATTGAAGTACGCCCAGCGTACCAAGAGGGGTACGCCCAGCGTACTCCCTCTGTTGGGTTTTTGATTTTGGGCCTTAAGTGATTGGGATGTTTATGGGCTAGTGGGGCTTGGGCCGTGACTGAACATTATGGATGGAGTAATTTAGACCCAATAATTATTATGGACCTTGGATCTAGGCCCATTTGGTGAGGTGGGCCCAATTTAGTAAATTGGGCCAATATTGGGCTTTGCATGAGGATTTGGTTTTGGGTCTTGGCCCAATAAGAGGATAATGGACTTAATGAGTGTTGTGGGCCCTTGGCCTAGAAAGTCATGTTGGATTCTAACTTGGTGATTATCATGTGATAGTTGGGAGTCCCGATGAGTCAGCGGTCAGAGATTTGCAGGATTTCGGCAGTTGCAAGGTGAGTTATCCTCACAATATCGACAGGGTCTACGGCACCAAGGCCGGCCCTTTATCGGATGGAAATCCGGGTATTGTTTTTCATGTTATTGTTTTGCTAGATCTGCATCCTGGTATTTAGGATGATGTTATGTTAGTGACCTGGTTAAGGTCGGTACCCGGGATATAGGGTAATGTTATGCTAGTGATCGGTTAGGTCGGAATCCTGGTTAGGATGTTGATATGCTATGTGATCTTTTAGACTGTTTGTCTGGTTGAGGATTGTTATGTGATTAATTGTTGTATGTGCACATGGTTGTTTGACGGGGGTTGGGTTGAGGCGGGTCCTGCTTTGTGCTGTAGGCCAACATACCCAGGGCGGACCGGATGTTCCGAAGGCCCAGCGAGCGGTCCGGATAGGCTGAAGGCCCCAAGAGGGCGGACCAGACGTGCCGAGGCTCGGAGAGTGGACCAGGCCGACTGAAGGCCCGGTGCGGGCGGACCAGTCATACTATAGACTCAGAGAGTGGACCAGGTGGATTGAAGGCCCGGTGCGGGCGGACCAATCACACTGTAGACTCGACGTACATGGCTAGACTCGGAGGGTGGACCAGGTGGACTGAAGGCCCGGTGCGGGCGGACCAGTTACACAGTAGACCCGATGTGCATGGCTGTTCTATTTATGATATGTTATGAGTATGATATGTGTGGTTGGTATTTTAGGGGTAACTCACTAAGCTTTCGGGCTTACAGTTTCAGTGTATTGTTTCAGGTACTTCAGGAGATCGTGGCAAGGCGAAGGCGTGATCGTACCGTTCCTCATGTTTTATGATTTATATGATATGGTTCTGGGGGATACTCTGATGTTTAAACTATTTTGAAAACGAGTTGTATGAACGTAATGGTTTTTGAATGATTTAAAATGTTTTAATTTGGCTCAAATTTTATGGGTGTTACAAGTTCAAAAGGTAAAATAAATAATATACGAAAAATGAATGAGTATATATAATCTGATAATTAGAATACGTAGATGGAAATTTATGTTATGATTATTTGCAATTTTAGAGAAAAAAACATGATATAAATGGTCCTTTTTGAAAGTATAATGGTATTATGGATATATTTTGAAAGTATAACAGTTTGAAACATAAGTAATAGAAAAGATGCATGCTATGTGTCATGAAAATCATGAAAAAAATCCTTAAAGAAAATTTTACGTAAATGGTCCATGTGGCAGATTTTAGTCAAATAAAACATGACATAAATGATCATTTTTTAAAGTATAATGATATTATGGATATATTTTGAAGAACTATCATAGAATCAAGAAATTATGAAAATGCAAATGCAACCTTACATGCAATTTAACACTGATAATTATGCTTGAAAAAATTGTTAAAGTAGGATGTTATTAAAAAAATAAAGCAAAAAAAAATGAAAACATTCATATGGGTATTTAAGTATTACTTCCCCCTTTTTTTGGTCCAATTATGTATTTGACTCTAGGGGTGCCTATGATTGCAACAAATGGAGTTTGTTCCAATTTTACCCTTCATCGAATGGTTATATATTGAACCATGAGAAATGGACACAAACAAACTATTTTGTATTTAAATCATTTAGTTGTTACTTGTTAGATAACGAAAGCAGGTGATATATACAAAAAATGAAAACAGAAAATGATTTTTTTTTTGGTATACAGAAAACAAAAACAGCCTGTTGATAACTTTGAACTGTTATGAAACAGGAAAAGCAATGGAGTTGTAGTAGAAGATGTTTAAATTTTGTAATAGAGATTTGTACCTTGTATTATGAATTGTTGGAGGAGAAAAGGAATGCAGAGAGAGAAAATGAAAGGTATTAGAATCGTTCTGGTTGCTGCAGTTTATATAACATTCTTGAGTTGAAGAAAAGAACTGAGGAAGATATCATTAAAACTGGATACATTTTCTGAAAATTACTAATAATAAAATACATTTTCTGAAAATTACTTTTTATTTTGACAGTATATCTACGAAATAGAAGAAAACAAAAGAAACATTATGAAAAAAAACAAAATTAAAGTGTTGCAATAGAAAGAAAAGTAATTTCATTTGTTAAAATTATATGAATTCAAAGTATCATGGTATTATGAAAGTGAGGCAAAGTCAAGCAAATAGAAGAACACACCCTTTGTTATGATAAATCAGAACTTCGGCCATTAAAGAAGGTTTGAAGCAGAATACGTTTGTTATGATTTTTTAGTTTCCTTTTGTATTAGAGATATATTTGGTATAATAGAAATTAATTCAAAATTTTATCTTGTTTTCAGGGATATGATATAAATAAATTGAAGATAATTATCTTATTGAAGATTGAAGATTGAAGATAATTATATGAAAACCAAAATTGCATCAAATTCGGCAACTAAAATTTAGGGATTCAGAATTGATTACAGATTTAATATCCATTGATGAATTGGCCGGGTGGACGAATCAAGTTTCCATTTTAATGGGATTTTAAATGAGTTTGAATTTTTTTTGGAAGATCACGATTCCTGATTTTCCTGCACTGTGAGTTTGAAATGACCAAAGGGGCAATTTCTGAATATCACTTAGACATTTCTGAGCGGGAAAAATAACTTGGGGGATGCTGAGAAATTGTCACGTGGCAATTTGGTACTTATTTATTAGATTAGGGGATATTAAACTAAGTTTATTAAAATTGAAATCCTCCTCTACTAGATTTTGTTACGCTTCAGCCTTAAAGAACACAAGGACTCATGCCTCAAGTATTTTATGTTGCTTGAAGCCAATCTTGTAGTAAGAAAAATATAAAACCGGAAAACCAAACTGCAAAAGATTTTTTTCTTGGAAACCAATTTTTTCGATTTAATTCAGTATTCAAATGCCAGATTGAACCAAACCATTCTCGGCAGTAATTAATTTCAAACATAATATCAAATAAGTAATAAGTGATATTTTTCTAAATATCTCACAAAAATATAAATACCCTAAAACATAAGGTAAACAAAATAGCATAAAAATGGTAAAACATATTATCCTACAAAATATAAATAACCTAAAACATAAGGTAAACAAAAAAGCACACAATATTCTAACTGTGTTAGGGTTTGAAACCTGGATCTTCTATCTATAGTTTCACTCATCAATTTGGGTTTGTTAGGGTTTAAAACATGAACCTTCTATCTATAGTTTCACTCATCAACCACTAGACTCCCATGTTCTTATTAATTAGCATAACTACAACTTCTAATTGCAACCTACGGTTCTCTAATAAAAAAAATGTGTGAACAGATGTTTTGGAAACTGAACAAGTGACTTGCTTAGAAAATGTGTAATTACAACTAATATGTTTCTTGTTAAATAGCATAATTGCAACTTATAATTGCACGATTTCATTTTCTTGGTGACCATCACATCAGGCTTTTGACAGACTATATCTAAGTTCTAATTCCTCCAAATACTTAAAAAGTGGCTGACACAGATACAATATACAAAATACAGATACAGAAGGAAATAATCCAAAACATGGGATTGCAAATGATATTCATCAAAATATTCAAATAAATGAACATCAAATTTCTTAAAGAGGAAGATATAATTTGATCATGTACCCCTTGAAGCAAAGGGTGAGTGACAACTAACCACTAAACCAAAAACTGCAACATATGCAAAGATAAGACTAATATCATTCATGTTTGAGATTAACTTTCAAACAATCATGGGCAAAGTACCATATGTCTGTTGTAAAAAACACGCCATTTCGACTTGTATACCTGAAAGCATATTTCTTGTAATATGGCAACCAAGAGTCAGACCACAACTCTCGTTTGATAGCAGCACTATGCTTCAACTCGCTAACAAAAAAGGCATATTCATCCATTGTCTTTTCATTTGGAGACACCCATTTCATTTCATCAAAATCTAGTTCGTGAACCACGTACACATATTCCCAAAAATTTTCCATAAAAAAAAAGTTTTCACCCGAACATACAATCTCCGGTAACCTCAAGTCTGAGTCCAGAACATTCTTGATTTTGAGTAGCATCAGTTTGGGCTCAGGATCGAGTCCCAGTTCATATAAACGAGCATCGGTGTCTATAGCATATATCTTCCCCTTGAATTCATGTAAATCAAAGATGCCTTCCTCAGCGGAGACATAACTCCATGACCCTGTTCCCGCGATTGAAAACCATATTTCAGAGAGGAATCTACATAAGACCACAAGCACCCACGCAGATATTGAAGGTGAAAAGACAAGAATAGCCCTGATTCCGTCTCGATCAGGTTCAAGATCCCTGGGGACTTTGGGAAAACGAAATCCATGTCTTGTGATAGGATTCATAAGCCAAAACTCACGTGGCCTTAGCCCAAACAAGACCAAATAACCACAAGTTAATCCAACACAGGTCTTGCCACTGGATTTGGGAATGCGAAATTTGAACTCTCTTCCATCAAAGTCATTCAAGGAGTACTCTCTCTTATTACCCTGCTCATTGATCCATACTTTAAGGGGTGGTCTGGATTTCATAAACGTGCTTTTGTTAGAAAGTGCAAGTGACCTCCATGACTTGCAAACTCCTCTGAAAGCAACAAAATCAAGGGCTCCGAGTCTCATCATAACTAAATAAAGCAAATCATGGTCAAGATCTGACCAAGGTGCTGTAGCACCAGTCATGAACCTCTTCCTGCCTAATCCATCACCACGATTCTTGCTTTTGGACACACTCCTTGTCTTAGTCATTCCTGCACTTGAAGAAATAACAAATAATCAAACCCTAGATAATCAATAAACTAACTAAAGCACTTTCTATGCACATTCCTATGAAGATAATCAGTTTCATATCATCATATGAGTTATGAGTAATTACCTAAAATTAAAAAATTATAGTATTAAGCAACAAAAACACAAATAATAACTATTTCATGATTGCATTAGTAAGCATATCCGCAGGTATAAATCAGCACATGTCTGATCTAAATTAATAATACCAAAATGAAAGAGAAAAAGTCAAAAGAAACTAAGCTAAACTAATAGAAAGATGAATATATATAAGAAAACAGGATCATATAAGTTTGAAATCGATCAATCCCAGGTTTCTAATTGAGCGATACGCAACCATAGTCTTTTTGGCATTTAAAACTGAACCACATGATTAAAATAGAAATGAATTTTATTTGTCTAAAAAAACAATATACAGAAAAAGAAAAAAAAAAAAAGTTAGTGCTTGTTATCGACAACAACTGAAAGTAAAATACTGCAAATAGTGATTATGGCTCTGTCGACCACTTAACATGATCTAACAAAGATCCAAATCCTTTCAAGGACTACACAAAATCGAAAATAACTTGCCTGATTGAAACCGAGGAAAGAGGAACTTGAGCTGTTGAGCTGGTTTAAGAACTAATCGATGAGATTCGAAGAGTTGTCGCCATGTTTTTTAGCCGTTGCATCCATTTCCGATGTTTCCTCTCCGGTTGAGGCTTGTTATAAATGGTAGTATCTGAAATAGGTTAAAATGTGAAAAACGAAAATTTTGGGTCCCACAGGCCTTGGACTCGAAGGGGCGCAGCCGCCCATTTTATACGCTTCTGGGCCAGGCCTAACTGCATTGACAATGTTGCCCTTGTGGCTTGTGCCTGACCTTCAACAAATTTACACCACAATAAAGTCTCTACATATTGGACTCATAATCGATTTAGTCCCTATATATTTTTTTTATTCAATTAAGTCCCAAATACCGGTAATCGTATTCAATTTAACCCTTTGACCCGGTCAACAGTTCATCCAACTTTCAAAAATTACATTTTTGGTCCAGATTTCAAAATTTATTACAAATTTGGTCCAAAATTTACACTTTTGGCCCAGATTTTAAATTTTGTTACAAATTTTGTCCAAACTTTACCCTTTTTGCCCAAATTTTAGAATTTTATTATGAATTCATCCTAACTTTAGTTTTTTTTACAACTTTTTTTCTCAAAAAATTGTTTCTAATATGTTTTTCCCTTATAAAATCATACTTATACAAAAAAAACGTATTTTCACATAAAAATCTTATATTTTCTATATAAAAACTTTTTTTATAAAATCGTGTTTGTATACATTTTATAAAAACGTGTTTGAATAATTTTTTATATAATACGTGTTTGTATATATTTTATAAAATCGTGTTTGTATACATTTTATAAAATGTATACAAACACGTATTATATACAAAATTATTCAAACACATTTTTATAAAAAAAATGTAAACAAAAACAGTTTTATAAAAAAAAAAATATAGATACAATAGGTGTATGTATACTTTTTTTTGTAAAATACGTTTTTGTATATATTTTTTTTATAAAAACGGATTTCTATATATTTATATACTTAATAAATACCTATTTTTATAACTAGATATTTCATATACAAAAAAGTTTTTATATAGAAAATATAAGATTTTTATGTGAAAATATGTTTTTTTTGTATAAATATGACTTTATAAAGAAAAAACATATTAGAAACAATTCTTTGAGAAAAAAAGTTGTAAAAAAACTAAAGTTAAGATGAATTCATAATAAAATTCTAAAATTTTGGCAAAAATGGTAAAGTTTGGACCAAATTTGTAACAAAATTTAAAATCTGGGCCAAAAGTGTAAATTTTGGACCAAATTTGTAATAAATTTTGAAATCTGGGCAAAAAATGTAATTTTTGAAAGTTGGATGACCTGTTGACCGGGTCAAAGGGTTAAATTGAATACGATTACCGGTATTTGGGACTTAATTGAATAAAAAAAATATAGGGACTAAATCGATTATAAAGCCAATATATATGGACTTTATTGCAGTTTTCTCTTTAAGTTTTTAACTGTTAGAACTTAAAAATATAAATATCCCTTATAATTTGCATGAACATTAACTTTAATTAATATTTATTACGGGATTTTAGCATTTATGAAATAAAAATATAGATAAAACTGTAAATATGGTCCTTATAGTTTATATATATTTTTTTATGGGTACAGTCTAAATCTTTTTAAAATTGCACATATAGCCATTTTAAGAGTTTTTTTTTTTTTTTTTTTTTTTTTTTTTTTTTTTTTTGCATATTTGGTCTTCTTCAATCTTAAAATGACTATCGTATCATTTATATTATTATTATTTTCAATTTTCTTTTATTTATTTTAGTCTATTTCTAATATGAAATAAAATTGCATCCACAAAATTCGGTACGATACTCGAGATTGACTTTCAATCAAATTCGGTATTCGGAAAATCGTAAAAGGATACTGGTCGGTACCGGTTCCGTTCCTTGCTCATCCCTAGTATAGTCCTGTGGGATAGAATATTTTGACAATTTTTACACAATTTTCTACAACCAAAATATTTAAGTGTTTCATCAATAAATGAATCCCTACATTAAGTAAATGAATCCCTGCACATTAAAAAAAATGTTGCAGATTTCGTGTGGAATCAGTGCGATCATAAATAACAAAAAAAAAAAAATAACAATTGTAGGTCTAAATTATGACTTCCATTTTCAAATTGGTAAAGAATAAAGAATACTAATAAAACTTAAAAATAAAACTACTAAAAAATAATAAGTATAAGAACAAAATGATGGGGAACAAATGGATTAATCATTGAAATAATAACAAAGATGAAACATAAAAGTGAACACAAAGGTTTGTTGACTCTCTTGTCCAAGCAAATCCCGGATCTAGCCTAGCTAGCCAAAAGATAGTATAAAAAACATAAGGGTAAATTACACGAATGGTCCCTATGGTTTTGGACGATTTGCATGTTTGGTCCCTAACTTATTTTTTTAACTCGGAAGGTCCCTATTGTTTGTTTTTGTTGCGTGCTTGGTCTCTGTCTTACCTAAAAAGACTATTTTTCCCTTGATTTTTTAATTTGTTTAAATAAACACACCCTCAACCCCACTTTCACTCCCACCTTACCTTACCTTACCTTACCCACCCCACCTTATTTAAATAAATTAAAAAATCAAGGGAAAAATAGACTTTTTTAGGTAATACAGGGATCAAACGCACAACAAAAACAAATTGTAGGGACGTCCTTCCGAATTAAAAAGGTAAATTAGGGACCAAACATGCAAATTACCCCAAACCATAGGGACACTTCGTGTAATTTACTCAAAACATAATGGATTCCCATTCACTAACATCCCTAAATAATATTCTCTTCATTTGTGTGTTTATACACTTGAAGGTATATTTGTTTTATTAGAAATGATTCCTCGATTCCCATATTTGTATTATGAGATACATGTATATATTTTGTGTGGGTTTTCCGGCCAATAATGTTGGTGATGGTGAGTGGGAGGTGTTAGTGATGGCGGTGATGATTTTTCTAGGAAAGGGTTAAAGGTTAGGTACGCCTCATTTAACTTAATATTCCTAAAAAATAAAAGCAATAATAAACAAGCTAAAAGAATAAGAAGAAAGGGCATAACAATCATTTTCGATATATAGAAACTAAATCCGAAACAAAATCAACCCATAAAGTTTAAAAAATAATTATGGACCGAACATGCAAACTAACCCTAAATACAAGGACCATTCGTGTAACTTACTCTAAAAGAGATATTGAATAACCTAATCTAACAAACCATGCTTAGATATGGTTAATTTCAAACAAATTTCAAATAAGTAATAAAAGGTATTCTCATTATAACTACGATTTAATATCCTAGAAAAATATGCACCTAAGAAAGGTGGAACGTAAAAGATAAAGTAGACAGCAGTATTACAAATTACAACAGATCATTCTCTCGCAAAATATAAGTGTGAACAGATGTTCTGAGAGTGAAGAAATGTTTGCTTAAAAAATGAGCAATATAACTTAATCAGTTTCTTTTCCATGATAATTATCTGACCTTCTAATTGCATGTTTTCATTTTTAATTGCATGTTTTCATTTTTAATCAGTCTTTGGGCAGAGTAAATCCATGTTTTGGAATCCTTTGTTCTATATGTTATAAATAATTTTCCACTTAAAAAGTGGTCAGCACAAATATAGATCAAAATAATCCAAAGACATGAGAGTAAATCCATGTTTTGGAATCCTTTGTTCTATATGTTATAAATAATTTTCCACTTAAAAAGTGGTCAGCACAAATATAGATCAAAATAATCCAAAGACATGAGATATGCAAATGAGAAACATCGAAATATTCAAAGCAAATGGACATCAAATTACATAAAAAGAAAGATATAGTCGACACATTGTGCTCCTTGTAGCAAAGAGTGAGTGAAAACTAACAGGTAACAACAAACCAAAAAAGCTGCAACATATGCATAGATAAAGACTAATATCATTTTTGTTTGAGATCAACTTTCAAGCAATCATGAGGGAAGTACCATACGTCTGCATTAAAAAACATGTCATTTCCACTTTTATAATTGTAAGCACGTTTCTTGTAAAGCCGCAACCAAGAGTCAAACCACAACTCTCGTTTGATAACAGCACTATGCTTCAAGTCGCTAGCAAAAAATGCATATTCTTCCATTGTCTTTTTATTTGGAGACACCCATTTCATTTCACCAAAATCTAGTTCATGAACCTGGTACTCATCAAAGGAAAAGCATTCCACAGCATAGAGGTTTTCACCAGAACATACAAACTCCATAAATACCATGTCTGAGTCCAGAATATTCTTGGTCTTGAGTAACATCAGTTTGGGCTCTGGATCAAGTCCCAGTTCATATAAACGAGAATTGATGTCAATTGCATATATCTTCCCCTTGAAATCATGCACATCAATGATGCCCGAAGGGGAGGAGACACAATCCCATTCTGCTTTACCAGCTATTGAAAACCATATTTTGGAGGTGTATCTACATAAGACCACAAGCACCCACGCAGATATTGAAGGTGAAAAAGACTAGAATAGCACTGACTCTTACTTCATCAGCTTCTTCTTCATCAGGTACAGGTTCAAGATCCCTGGGGACTTTGGGGAAACGAAGTCCATGCCTTGTGATAGGATTCATAAGCCAAAACTCACGTGGCTTTAGCCCAAACAAGACCAAATAACCACAACTTAGTCCAACACAGGTTTTGCCAGTAGATTTGGGAATGCCCATTTTGAACTTTTTTCCATCAAAGTCCTGTAAGGAGTACTCTCTCTTATTACCCTGCTCAGAAATCCATATGGAAATGGGTGGTCTAGATGCCATAAACCTTGTTTTGTTAGAGAGTGCAAGTGACCTCCATGACTTACAAACTCCACTAAATGCAACAAAATCAAAGGCTCCAAGTTGCATCATAACTAAATAAAGCAAATGATGGTCAAGATCTGACCAAGGTGCTGCACCACCAGTCATGGACCTCTTCCTGCTACATCCATCACCACGATTCTGGCTTTTGGACACACTCCCTGTCTTAGTCATCGCTGCATTTGAAGGAAAAAATAAATAATCAAGATCATTGTAAATGCAAATTCAAAATAAGATACACCAGTTATAAACAGTGGACAAGCATAACGAAGTGGATTCTAGAATGAGGAAAAGAAACACATTTTACATTAAACCAAAATACCAAATCGAATCAAACCCTAGTTAACCAAATAAACTTACTAAAATCCCTTTATATGCACCTTTCATTTGGCAAAATTGTAAAGGAACAATATGCAGGAAAAAAAACAATTTTGTGCTTAGTATCGACGAAAACTGAAAGTAAAATACTGCAATGAGTTATTAAGGTCATGTCAACCACTGAACATGAGCTAATAAACATCAAATTAATCCTTTCAAAAACACACAAATCGAGATGTTGTCAAATAGCTTGCCTGGTTGAAAACGAAGAGGGAGCAACTTCAGATGTTGAGGTGGTTTGAGAACTAATCCGGGATACTCGAAGAGTTGTCGCAATTTATTTGAACTATTGTTTCCATTTCCGATGTTTCCTCTCCGGCTGCGGCTCGTTGTAAATGGTAGTATCTTCAAATAGGTTTAAACGTGAAAAAATAAATAAATAAATAAAAATAAATTAAATAAGTTCTTATTTTTGTTCCTACGAATACTCATATTTAATTGACATGTATCATATTAATATACTAAAATATCATTAAATTTTATTAAATAAACATTAAATGTTACATATGTCACTATTTAATTGGATAGAAAGATTTGTAGGAATAAAAAATAAGAAGATATTTAATTTTTCATAAATAAATAACAAACAGTAACAAATTGTGTTCCACAAAAAATCAGGCCTTCCCCTCGTAGAGGCCCAACCCGCCCAGGTTACATGCGTTCTGGACCAGGCCTGAGTGCATAGACAATTTTTTAGGCTGATGATATTGTTGCTTTCAGCTTCAACAAATTACAAATGTACAATTTTAAACACTTTTAGAGAAAACTCATCACAAATTTATTATATTATCTATTAAAAAAATTATATTATATCTACATAACGTGGCTACAGTGAAATCTCTAAATATTATTAAAAGAGAACCCTTAACTCAGCAATGACTATCAGGGCCCTTAATTGTATTTCAATCTTATGTTTTTTCACCCTTAGATTAAATTGCTGACATTGTCTTCCTAAATAGAATTCAAACACAATTACATTTAATTATAGAATCTTTAAATTCAGCAATTATGTTATCAATTGAACCATATCATTCTATTTATATACGAGATATCAGTTTCTCTAATTAATATTGTTCCTAACTTAACTCCCTTACTTATAGCTTTTTGCTTCAAAATTCAAATCCATTTTTTTTTTGAAAAAACTCATTAAATAAGCATATCAATAATTCAGTTATTAACTTATAAAATCTAATCTAATCACATTAAATCAGCAAAATATTTTAAAGTCAAAATTAAAGTCAATATTATTCATACTTTATCTCCCAATATATCCCACATAAAATGAATCGATTTAAGATGATGGTTTGAATTTTAGAACTCATTAAATAAGCAAGTTATTTAATTTGAGTTTTTGAATCAATATAACTGATATCTTTTTTTTTTTCAAATGAATAGCTGAAAATCTCTAAGATTATATCTTTGGATCCCAATTTTTTTGGAAGATGATGATTTTTTTTATTCAAAAACGCCCTATATATACGATTACATTGAAGTTGTTATTCTTAGGATTTTGGATTTAGTCCTACGATTTACAGTGTTCTTTTTCAGCGGTCTTTTTCACCAATTCTTTTTTCCAGGTTCTTTCTTTACTTTGTACTTCTTCTTCTTCTCCAGTTTTTTGCATTTACTCTATTCTTGTTACATGTTATTACTGTTATTACTGTATTCATGTTGAGAAGTCATGAAAAAAATTAATCAATCTACTTTAAGCATATTAGTTTCATTCATTTAGTTACAAAAACAAAATTATATCATTTATATCAAATTATTTTATGTGTTGACCTATGTTTGTTTGTGAGTCTGTGTATAATCAACGTTATTGTAACATCCCAAAAATGACAACGTTATTGTATAATCAACGTTATTGTTTATACATATTTATTCATGAAATATGATTTGGTAAGAGCTGCCTAGAGGGTTATCCCAAACTATACCCATTATAGTTTATTAGAGTTGATATGGAAAATGTTTTGTAAAAACCTTTCTGAAAACCATGAAGTAGATTTCCAAAATAAAAGCTTCCCTTATGCTCGACATAATATAAAAGGGATAAAATATCGGAATATTTTATTAAACATGGAAATCGTTGAATTGTATTAATAAGTTTAAAACTTAATAAAATACTTTGAGTTTGGCTTGTATTCTCCCCCTAAAAACATTAAAAACACGGAAAATGTAGGGGTATGAACTCACCTCGGGCGATTCGAATGAAAGATCGATACGGAAAGCGGGATGTTCAAGTGAAGCCTTGAACACAACCTGATCCTAATTAACATGTAATGACACATAAAGGAGTCAAATGAAGGTATTTCCTTACTAAATGTGGTGGAGAACCACTCTAAGAACTTGGGACAACTCACACTAAGTGCTAGAACCTTAAAGGATTGCATGTGGGAGGTGTATGGCCACCTTAAAGGTGTGTGCGGCCATGAGTGTGCGGCCCAAAGGGTGTGCGGCCGTACACTCATGATGAGAGGTGCCTTTTGTGGTGTTTTCAAGGTCTATATTTGCATCCATGAAGTGTTCTAGGTCCATACTTAGTTGTAGTACAAGTTTAGGGTCCTAAAAAAATGGGTTTGTGGTCCTAGAATGTGTGTGTGGTTGCACACGGGAGTGTGTGGTCGCACACAAGGGTATGTGGTCGCACACTTGGGTGTGTGGTCGTACACCCAACAAGATAATGTCCAAAATGCCAATTCCAAGGTGCAACAAGGCTAGGGTCATGTCTATCTCGAGTTTGGAAGTCAAACTCTCACTTTGGAGGGTGTTATAAGGGTGTGCGACCAACCTTATGAAGGTGTGCGGCCGCACTCCTTCAAGGGATGAAGAACATGATGGAAATTGATGAATCAAGGCTTAGATGAAGTGGTTCTTCTAGTACAACAAGCTAAGGGATGGATTACTCACGTTTTTTAAGCCTTGGAGGGTTTGCGGTTGAAGAGTCTTGAGAGAAAAGGTGTTGTGTGCTGCCAGATGCTAAAGGAATGAAGGGAAAGGGGTCTACCCTTTATATAGGGGTGGGTGTTCTGCCTAGAAGGGAGTGTGCGGCTGCACACCCATGTGTACGGCCGTACACTTCCCATAAGGGTGTGTATGGCCCGATTTTGACGCTATCTGACTTGCTGACTCATTCCTAAACTCAACCTTGGTCATACTCAAGCTTAGAACACTTAAATGAACCCTTAAACAAGACGAGAAGTCAACCAAACAAGTTTAACATTGATTGAATTTGACTAAGTGTACGAGATAGAAGTTTCGGGTTGTCACATCATCCCCCCGTTAGAGGGAATTTCGTCCCGAAATTCAAGAATAAAGATGTAACTCGTGGACTTGGAAATGATGGGGTACTTTTGTTTCCTTGGATTCACGTGCTCCCAAGTGAATTCAGGTTCCCGCTTAGCATTCCAGCGGACCTTCACTATCGGGACGTGACGTTATTTCGTTCGCTTGACTTCTCGATTCGTGTGTCCAGATGAAGCGTAGACTCTTGTCTAGTTCGATATCGTCGAGGGGAACCACAATTGTCTCATCGGACAGACATTTCTTTGGTTCGACACTAGGAAGACGGGATGAACGCTGCTAAGCGCTCGAGGTAACTGGAGTTTGCATGCTACGAGACCGATCTTAGCAAGGATCTCAGACGGTCCAACGTATCTTGGATTTAGTTTTCTACGCTTTCCGAAGCGTATCAGGCCTTTCCAGGGTGAGACCTTTAAAAGGATACGGTCACCAATCCTGAAATTTCAAGGGTTTTTGTCTCTTATCGGCTTAGCCCTTTCGTACGATCCCTTTTCAATCGTCTATCAGATGATTTCAGGACTCGTGAGGGTACTGTCGTGGACTTGACTTCTTGGCTAGTTGCGTGTCGCCCACCTCGGCCCAGCACAAAGGGGATCTATACTTACGGCCATAGAGGGCTTCGAACGACGCAACCTTGATGCAGGAAAGGTCGCCTTTTGTTGCGAGAAAGTTCAACTAAGGGTAGATGAGTGTCCCGCGACATATCTACAATTGTCCAGATTGTTCTCTTACTTTGTCCATTTCTTTGTGGGTGATACTCTTCGCATGAATACTTTCAGGTTTCGAAGAGAGATGAATTTTTCGTAGTTCGCATCTAATTTGTCGTTACGAGTGATGAGAGTTTTGCGATCGAACGATTTAAGACAAAAAGGGTTTGGTATAACATAGACTCAGTCGGACTAGCGGGACGACGTCGTAGAGTCGCGCGTTAAGTTAGTTTGGAAGGATCGTTTTGTTAGGACATTGCTGCCCTTGGATGAATGTCTCTGGTGTTTTCTGTGTTTGACTCGAAGTTAACAGGTACTACTAACACGAGGGTTCTGATGTTTTGAAACTATGAACTTTCATGAAATGGTTCTTACTAGATCTCTCTATGATCGTTTGGTGTACACAAGTCGTGTATAATTACAACTGACCCTAGCGTATTCACTAAAGCTATCATAATTTTGCTTATTAGGGCTTTAAACCTTATAAGGATTACGTGATTCAATTTGGACGAGGAAGTAATCACGATTATGAGCAATTATAGGGGTTTTCGAAAACGTACCTAAACATAGTAGGGTTCTTTGATGCTTCCTCATTCCCTGAGGTCAGACTCCCCCTATTTCCTCATTGTTCTTTTCTGTTGGGCAGTCTATTTTGAAGTGTCCCATTTCACCACATGTACATCACACTTGAACTATGCTAGCGTCGGTAGTGGAAGTGATGTGTTGAGTCGGGGTCTTTGCGAAGCGAGCTTCCTGGCCATCCTTAGCCCTTGGACAATTTCTTTTTGA